CTGCACCCAGTGTCCCCACTGTGTTGCTTCCCCCTCTCCTCCTCACTTCCCTGGCTGTTCTCTGCCTTACCTTTGCTTCATTACCAGCAGGCTACATCCTCACTGCAGCCTGGAACGTGGAACATGGCCCAGCACTGTAGCAGCAGTACTAGCTCTGTGCTGCTGCTATAGGGCTGGGCTGAAGCTGAGCTCAGTGCCCTCCCTAGGCTGCAGCCGGGACAGAGCCTGCTGGTGCTGTAGCAAATGTAAGGGTGGATGGAAGTGCAGGTGGCAGAGACTTGTCAGGGGGGGCACAATGTGGGTAAGGAGGGCAGGGACCCCAGGACGCAGGGGGCAGAAACAGTGTGAAGAGGGAAGGCAAGGGTGGGGAGGGGGATAGGGGCCTGAGGCTGTAGGGAGTAGGTGCAAGGAGGGACAAGTGAGGGGGACAGGAGGCAGGGGACAAATGTTATGCCTCCCCCACTGCCTGCCCCATTACTGGCCCCCACCACCTGCCTTACCACATGCCCTTCCCACTGCCTCACTCAGTCTGTCCCCACATTGCCTACCCCACTTCTGCCCCCCTCACCTCCTGCAGCAGTAGCGGGGATGATATTTTAAGTGATCTTCCAATTATTTAATTCTATATATGGAAGATTATAATGAATGCATACATTTTTCATGTACAGAATTATGGGGGGGATGTTCATTTTAAATTCAACATCATGCTAGGTTTGGGCAAATACAGTTTGCTTTAATTTTGAACTTTTTTAGATGTTGGAAGTAATCATACAGGCCCTTGACGTGCTATGTTTTGGAAAGCTGTACATCTCACTTTTTCATCAGGCTGCATTAAGAACTAGGCATGGCATGGTGTTGTGAGTAAGACAGTCAAGCAAACAAGTTTAAAACCTCAATTAATTGGAAAAGCAAGAGCAATAACTATTATTTTTGGATGCATTGCTTGACGCATCACAATATTATTTGTGACTTGTGAAAATAGTGAAGAAGAAAACTACAAAGATGACCCATGGACCAAAAGGTGTTAGAAAAGTGATCCATTTACTAACAGCAGGAGTACGAGTTCTGGAGTTGCTGGTTCCTCATACTCCTCAGGCAGTAGTAGTACATTACACCATGGTAAAGAGCTGAAAGCGGAAGAGTCAGGAAAAAGAAAGGATTTGTTGTTAGAAGAATCAGAATGTCAGCACTGCAGTTGCAGCTGCAGCAGACACAGAACTTCTAACGGGGAATCTGCAGGTGAGACCTCCACTGGATTCCCTAACTACATGCAGAATCAGCTGCCATTGTCACAACCCATGACGGGACACAATACACAAAGTCAGGATCCTTAGTCATGTCAATTAAATAGTAAATGTTGAAGTCCAAAATGCATGGCTCACACTTGCTTCTTCATCTATCACAGAGGCCAGCAATGTATGTCCCACGAGCTACATGCAGCCTACAGAACCACTGGATCCAAACCAGGGACATGGGGCTTCGCTGGCTGCAGGAGCTGTCTCCATGCCACCGCAGGGACAATATTGGTTGCAAGCACTCTTCCCCACTTGGTGGGTCATTCCAGCCCACAGCTGGAAAATAGTTGCTTACCCTGATCAATGACATGAAAAAATCTTCCTGGAATGTCAATACAGTGACCTTAGAATATTCCCATTATTTTCCATATTACATTACAACTACTTGTCAAGAACTGGACCTCCTCTCCCAGCTCTTTGATTTTGCAAATTTGAAATCTGAAGAGGATTTTTTTCATTGCACTTAATAATAATATATCAGAAGGTTTTGACTGAACTGTTTTTATTGTATTGTATCATGCCCCCCAAATAACCAAGCAGATAAAGAAAAGAACAAAAAGCCATAAACAAGTATTAACAAAAAAAAATACTCTTCAATTCTCTAGTAAATTAATTATTTTAATTTAATTTTTTCCAATCATGTAATAAAGACAACGAGCAAAACTGATTTTAGCATAGTCCTGGCAGGTTTAATAACCTTTTTTGCTTTATGGTAAAAGTCTGTACTTTATTTTGTAATATATTTAAACCCAGAAAAGTTAAATGACAAGTAGCCTCTGATCATCAGTAAAATGCACTCATTTCAAGCAATTTTCCAGTCAGGTTGATGGAGGCACAAAGAAATAAAAAATCTTATCCTATATACACAGTATGTTACCAGCAAGCCTCAAACCAGAACACAGAAAGTTCCTGGCTCCCAATCATTTTGGTCAAATCTTTATATTACACAGGCTGTAGTTATATTGTCTCTGTCTCTCTCCCCTCCTGCATTCATTTTGATTACAGAGCCACCTGTGACACTGTTAGAGTATGCCCAGCATGGCACCTGCCTCATAACCCAGGGGGGGAAACAGCAGTGTACTACCTTGAACAACAAGAAAGATGCCAGGAAAAACCCTCAAGGGCTGTCTAGCTTCTCCCAGTTGGTACACCAGAAGAAAAGTGCTTTTTTTTTTTTTTTTTTTTTTTTTTTATTACCCGCTCCCTATTGAGGGAAAGCAGAAGCAGATACTTGGTCTGTGAAATGATAAAACATTAATTAAAACTCATGATAATAAGTACCCAAAATAAGTTTATGTTTAAGTGATCCTAATTTAATCAAAGTCTATGCCATTTGATTACAATGAAGAAGCTCTTGCAGAAAAATAGGTAAAACCAAAGACTTCATATGCCCTATGGTAGGGGTTTTCAACCTTTTTGGATTGGTGTACCCTCGGCAGCCAGATGCAAAGCAGTATAGCCTGGTGGCCAGACACAGAGTGAGGAGGGTGGGAGGTGGGGGTGGGGCGTGACCAAACACAGAGTGACAGCAGCTGCTGCATGTGAGCTTCCCCCCCACTCCCCCACATCCAGCCGGGCAGGTGGCACTCTCTAAGTACCTCCAGGGGTATGCATACCCCCAGTTGACAACCCCTGTTCTATGGCAAGCTTAACCTAACTGCTGCTGCCGAGTTCACTCTGGAGCAACAGATTATGCCCAAATGCAGTTCAACCTTATTTAAGAATTAAAGTATCAAGGTTTTTATTGGTTTTTTTTTTTCATAGTTAGTTCAATCTCTGCAAGTCCTGTTATTTATTTTATACCAATTTTGATTAACAGGACATTTCTAGAAGTTAATACTACACTATTTTGCAAATTCAAAGTTATCTACAGAGCCAATAGGCGCAGAAACATGATTCTTGCCTTAAATGCATGCTTAGCTTTCCTGACAAACTTTTCCCAGTTCGACTAAAAGTAGATTTTAAACCAGTTTAGTTAAACCAGTGCAAGACACCCAAACTAAATGAGCGTCTTTACACAGATTTGCAGCATCTTATTAAATGAAGTTAAAACTGATTCTTAATTAATCCAGTGAACGTTTGGGTGTAGACAGAGCATTAAAATCTTTCTCATTGTTCCACATGGAGGGTGAACGACACAGCTAGACAACAGCGAAATAAATAAGACTGATGATTAAAATTGCTAAAGATGTTACTAATTTTTTTATAAAAGTGAAGCGCATTAACTGGGAGTACCAATGACCTCTATTTAAAGTAACTTCCATGCTCACATAAAAATATGGCAAGGAGATTTGCAAAATGAAAGAAGAAGGCATTGCCCACTCTGTTGGCTCAAGTCTATCTTGTGTAGGCACTAGGGGTGTGCGAAACGGGCCATATTTGATACGGATTCGGCCCAAATCGGGGGACAGCAATTCAGTACAGATCACTGTCCCAATTTGATTAATCCAAATCTGAATCTGAAGATTTGATGCTGATTCAAAGAATCAGCAATTCAGCCATAGACACAGCTGTAACTGTTTTTTCTACATACCTCAACATACCAGGCACGGCTCGTGAATGCTGAGATGGTGGGACAGATGGAGCGTTCCATGGGAGCATGGGGGAGTCCCCCTGCATGTTCAGCGGTGGACCTGAAGTGGAACAGAAGTGCTTCTGGTCCACTTTTGGGTCCCCTGCCAAGCACACTAGGAACCCCCCCGCTCCAGTGGGACACTCCACCTGCCCCACCATCTCAGCATTCACAAGCCACCTAGTACCTTGAGACATGTAGAAAAAACATTTAAAGCTGTGTCTATGTCCAAATCATCGAATCTCTCCGAATCTCTCTGAATCGATTTGGAGGGTTCCGATTCGATTCGGAGAGATTAAAAGGTCTTCTGATTCAATTCGAATTTTGAGATTTGGCTGCTGAATCGGTACAAATCTATAACGAACCGAATCAGCGATTCTTGTAAATCTTCCCATTTTTCAAAATTCTCAAGAAACCTTGAAATCAGCATTATAGACTTACAAGAATGTTTCCCTGACACATCTTTCCATCACAGCAATTCAAGCTATACAGCTTTTATATTCACTTAATTTCATTTCCCCACATGAACCACTGTTCCACCATAATTACCTGATACAATGCTCTTCATTTTCACTTTAATGCTCATATCACAAGCAAGATTTGGGTTTACTTTGCAAATCTTGTAAGAACTTCATGTATTTTGTGCACCTGAAACTTATGAAGCTCCAGACACATCATGAAATACTAGCAGTTTTTAAAACCCCCCCGTTTTTATGATAGCTTGTTAAAGTAATTCCTGCCAAGAATTTTATGCATGTTTTCTGGTTTGCTTCTTTGCTTTCTTAACAGTATCCTAAATTGTAATTTCATTTCTTGCTCTCAGACATTTACAGATACATCCTAATGAGTAAGTTCCAAATAAATCATTACAGAAACTTTGGGAATTAGAAAACAAAATTTAAGAAAGTGAAATAAAAATTATAGACATTAAAATGCGACTAAATCTCATATATATTTGTTGAAAATGTACCACTTAATTAACATAAGAAGACCTAATGTACAGTTAGGCCTTTTGCAGAAGATGAAAGGAATATCAAATTATGTAATAGAACTATAAACAAATAAGAAATCTGTATTTAAAACAAAAATCAATAATAACTCCAACTATTTTCTAGAAATTGAGCAAAACTTACAGAGAAGGTTGAACCAGTCTTTGAAACTGTAGCAGAGTGAGTTGCATCTCCCAGATGTACAAACAGCTCCCAGCTACTCACATTTGATTTATCAATAGAAATTCTAAAGCAAGAAAAACAAAGAAAAAATATTTTACCATGTTCAAGTTTCCCTTAGTTTTAGTTGCATTGGTTGTCTCTACAGGGTGCCCATGAAGGATCTAAAATACCATTAGGCCTATAGACACAGTCAAAGAACAGAGATTCATTAAGTCATAGATTGTAAGGCTGGAAGAGACCTCAGAAGATCATTGGGTCCAGCCCCCTGCATTAGGCATGTTTGAGAAAACCAGCAGAGATGATATTCTTTTTGTCAGATTAAATGAAAAGGCACTTTTTAGGGAAGTTTGCTTCTGAGATTTTTTTTTTTTTTGCTTGCTTTGCCTTGACGCCTTGAGTAAAACTTCCAGTGAAGAAGTATTAGAAGTCCAGGCCCCTGCACTCAGATACTTGTTAACTGAAGGAATAGGTGCAGGGAGGAAGAGGAGGAGCATGTGCACCTAAAACAATTCACCATCATCTTCATTTTTCTCAACACTAATAAGTTAAAGGCCAGATTAGACATGAAAGATCTAGGAAAATAAATATGTATTAATTACTCTTAGAACCAATACACTTCATACCAGCAGCTCTCAACCTTTTTAGACTTGAGGCACCCCTCCATAACTTTTCTGAATGGAGTGGCAATTCATTGCAAAAACTAACATTATAGTGCTTACCTTCTTGAAGAGGGGCCAGGAAGGAAAAGGAGCAACTACAGGGAACAGTCTACACTGCAGTGAGTGGGGATTTGGAAGGGAAGTGCCTGTACTTTAGCTCTTCACTAGAGCCTATGTTTATCTCCTCTCTCCTGACAACACCCTGGTGGAGAACTGCTGCCTTATACGTAACATTACTGAAGCCCCTCCACAGACAGAATAAACTGAAGCCGTTTATATGCTGTGACCCACACAAGGTTCTGACCTTCCACTACAATAGTCTATGACCTCCCCAAATCTTAATACAGGGCACTAGACCAGGTAACTCCCAGCACACGTGCCAGGATCTGGCATGTGAAGCCATTTTATTTGACACACCACAGCCAACCCAGGCTTTGGGCTGGCCATGGAGTCTGGGTTGCTCACAACAGGTGGTGCGGTGGCTGCAAGCAGATGCACCAGGGTCCGTGGAGGCCCAGCCCAGCTCACTGCCAGAGGTGTGTGCACATGTGACTCTGGGCAGACAGTGGGAAAAGGGCCAGGGCTGCACTGCCACAACAAGGATCGGGTCCCTCATGGCTCCCCTGCCATCCATCTCTAACACATTAACATCTTAGAAGTTGAGGTTGCAAGGTTTTTTGGTACTCGGCCCAGAAACATTGCCAACCCCTACACCAGGACCTTTGTGTTACCACTGAGCTGATGTCAGAGAGGTAGCCATGGAACTCAACAGAAAAGCAAGAAATGACTTTCAGCATTTTTGTTTTAAATTCTACTTATTTGTAACTTGCAAGTCTTCATATATATTATGTTTCAAATTTCCTGCCCTTGTTATGACTGGCAGCTTGTTATATCACTTTCTGGCATCTTTTAGATTGTAAACCTTTGAGGAAAGAGGCTCTCTCTGATGATTTATCTAAGCATGGGAAAGCACAATAGGTTCCCAATTTCATTGAGGCTTCAAGGTACAATTATAGTATAAATAAATTAATTGATCATACATTTACAGATACATCCTAGGGACTCTTGGTGCATGCTCTTGGTCTCCCATGCCACCTTTTGCACATGGCACAAGCTCCCTGTAAAAATCCATAAAGCACCACATTTTAGACGCTAAATTTTCTCCTTGAAGGCTGTGAGGCTTCTTATTCATGATCTAAATACACACTGAACTATTATTTATTTCAATAATGTCTAATATTTTAAAGGAAAGCTATCTTAGGAATGCCACAGTTTTAAAAAATTGTACTAAACCATTTTTTACATTGCACAACCTGTGAAACCACATTCATTTTGATACCAGTCTAATACAAAACTTCAAGGAAGAGAAACAGTGAAGTAATTGTTTTACTTTTACCAATGTTTCTGTTAGAGCACAAGCAAGTCATGAACACTGCAAGAGCTCCTCCAGCGCCACCTAGAGTCACGTCACCTCCCAGCTGGAACAGTAGTGGCTTGTTCTAATAAATCACCTGCCATGCCTTCAATGTTATGGAAGATGATGCTTAGCCACTACTGGGAGGCAACAGAGAATGGTTAGAGACTCAGAATTTCTGCGGCTCTTCACAGGGCTCCACCATCCCCATACTCTGCCCTCACCACACCTGATGTTCTGGTCAATGTTGACTGCCGCTAAGGTTCATTATTATCTTGACCTGAAGGATCGTATCTACAGCCCGGGTCTAAGTGGCTGCTTGCCCCATTCTTCCCTGCACAGGTCCCAAGACAGCTACCTCTTGCTCAGGTTCCCCCCCGTCACCCTCTTGTGGCTGGCATCCTCTTCCTCTTCTCTCTCCTCTGGGAGAGTAGCAGTCCCCTTCGCTTCCCTCTTCTTCTAGGTCCCCCGAGTACTTCCCTTTACCCCCCAAATTTAGACTCACTGGTTGCTCAGACTTCTTTGCCGACTCTTGCTCCCTCCTAGACCTCGTCTAGTAAGTAGCAAGGTCAGAGCTTACCCTTGGGTCTTCTACCAGCTCTCCTTCACTTGCTTGCTCTCTCTTCTTCTTCCTTCTGCTCCCTTTCTTCTTCTGTCCTCCTCCAGGTGCTCCCTCAGGGTCCTTTAAATCTCCCTCCCTTCAGCTGAGTCCCACATGGCAGTTCCCAATTGGTTGCCTGCCTGACCCAGCTCTTCCTTCTATGCTTGCTGGCATGGTAATTCTTTCTTTCTCTTTGTTCTTTTCCCGCACTGGTCTCTTTTCTCCACATTTGATTTCCAGTGGCTGGGTCTGCCACGGCCCCAGCCAGCACCTCCATTCATCCGAATTGCATCAGGGCTTGCCACCGTTCCTCTGGTTCCCCAAGGTAAGTTTCCCTCTCCTAATTCTTCCTGGTTCTGCTCGTGGCAGGGTGCTTCATACACCCTGTCACAAACGTATTTAAAGGATTTATGGCCATTATCCTCTTGTTTATATTTAGATGAGGGAGAAGGTCCTAATTTTTATCCTCCATTGTCACAGGGGACATGGAAATGGTTGAGAATGAGGGCTGTCAATTAATCGTGATTAACATGCATGATTAACACATTCATCATTGTTCGCATTAATTTTCTTAACACATTAATTGCACACATGGTTTTGGAGTCCGTGCCCAGGCTCCATTTCACTGCTGCCTCCAAGCCACCCCATGGGGCAGCAGTGGCAACACAGAGGACTGCAGGGCAGCCCAGGCACAGGCTCCAGGTGGCTGCAGGGGGCCGGAGGGGAGTGAACAGACACATAGCTGCAGTCTGCAGGCTGCCAAGAATGCAGCCCGGCAGTGTGTGGAGCAGTGCCCAGCAAGTAAGTCTGTGAAGGGGAATGGGTATGGGGGAAGGAAGGGGTGGTGGGGGGCAGATCAAAGCCCCCACAGTGTGGGAGGGAATGGGGCAGAGACAGGGGCTGGAGTGAAAGGGGCAGGTCACGGGACAGAGCCATGGCTTGTCCAGGGATGCGGGCGGGGGGGGAGGTCCCACCACTGCACACATCCCAGAGGAGGCACAAGGGGTACATAACCCCCAGATTTGTGTGTGGGGTGGAGGCAGGCTGCCGCTGCAGATTGGGCTCTGTGCCCAGCTGCCTTTGCATTGGGAGCCATGAGCTGGCTGCGCCAGCAGTGGGAGGCACAGCACTGCACAGCTCCTGAGGCAAAGGCAGGAGGGTGCAGAGCCCAGTATGCAGCAGCAGCCCGCCTCCATCCCACACACAAATCTGGGGGGCACATGCCCCCCCGAGGGTGCACACAGCAAAGAGAGGAGCCCCCCCCTGCACCCCTGGATGACCCGCAGCTCTGTCCCACAACCCACCCCAGCCCCAGGGCCCCATTCATCTCAGCCCATGCCCCACTCCCTCCCTCAATCTGCCCCCCTGCCCCTTCCCTCCCCCACACACCTCACCCTCCACAGACTTACCTGCTGGGAGGTGTCTGTCTGCCCCTCACTCCCAAGCCACAGCCCCAGCCAGCCTTGCTGCTACCCCTCAATCCTGATCCACAGTACATCACATCCTGCCAGGGTATGTGGGAACCCCGTTCCCCAGGCTCCAAGTGCCCCCACATACACACAGCCCCCACACCTGCATAAAATTCCTCCCCACACCCACTCCCCAACCATACAAAGTACTTGCATAATTTTGCATACCTTTGAATTTTTCTGCACATAATTTCAAGTGTTTAGCTGTGCGATTAAAATTGTAATTAATTGCGACTAATTTTTTTTAATTGCACAACTAATTGCGATCAAATTATTTAATCATTTGACAGCCACATTAAGAACTATTGTGAGCACTTCTCTCACCCTAAATGGCCTGGCTCCTTGGACCCTTCCAACAGGAGTTGTTCACTGCTAGAACTTGGCCAAAATTTTCAAAAGAGATTAGTTATTTTGGGTGCTCAACTTAAAACAAATGAAAGGAATGTGAATTCTCAGGGAACAGGTGGCCCAGCACTTCCTGGAAATTCAGCCCCTTAAAGATATGTCAAAGTAAGAAACTGCAAAAAGAAGCAGAATTGCTAGTCATTTCTTAAAAGTTTGACATTGGTTTCATAACCATCTCCTTTCAAGTATGGCCAACCCCAGCTTCCCAGTTTCCTTACATAAAGTAATATCCCTATCCACAAAGCCTGCAAATAACAAACTTATTAAACATGATTTCTTCCCACTCTGAGGTCAGTATTCTAGGAAGTATAAATAAATGCCAATAAAAAACAATGTGAGGAAATAACCCTGGTTCATGGGGGCAAATGGCATTTCTCGTGGTCTCCATCTTGAAGTCCCTATATATCACACAATTCTTTAGACAACCACAGCTATTTAGACAATGATTTAGACAACCACAGCTATGATCATTCAAATATTTTGGTAGATACTGAAGAAGTGAAATAGAAATTTCAT